ACTCTGATTTTCATGAAATAGCGGGTGTTACAGTTGGTATCAGAGCACGTTTCTGCGTCTCTGAAAATTTTTATAAGTCAGAAATTTTTCAAAAACCTGAACACGTCACGCTCACGCCTCGCCGACTACAGGTAAGTGTTGATTCATGTTTTTAAATTATAAACAAATTACTATGTCTATGCTCAGAAATTCTACAGTTATGATTAGTTTAGTTAAGATGCTCGAATCATGTTCCGGATTCCTAGTTCAGTATATCCATGCTTAATGTCAGTATTTTACAAGCCATGTTAAGTGACTCGTCAAGAGATTTGTAAGCACTTATGTTGTACAAATCTTAGCAATCATGTTCCTCAGGCATTTTATATCCAAAATAGCCCATTTTGCCAACCAGTTGGCACATTCCAAGGAGCAATTCCTTGATTCAGATCAGGGAATTGACTCAAATGTACTAAGTCAGATCAGTAAATCTAGTTCAGGGCTAACTTTTCATGCTAGAGGTTGTTATAATTCTTAAGGCCTTTGTCAAAGTAACGGTTTCCAGTGTATAAGAGTCTATATTCTGGGTTACCATGGAGGCTTGAAATAAGAGCCGCTAAGCCGGGTATACCACGGAGACTTGAAGCTGGGACCAGAACAGTATAATTTCATGTAATAACAACCTTTAAAGTCAGTTATGTCATGTATTCTATCAGTTTGTTATTCCTAGTTATGGTTGCCCAAGCTCAAAAATCAGTTATTTATTTTGTACTTGCGGGACCAGTTGATACTGGAGCAACCCTATATAGTACATATTCATGAGTCAATGTTCATGATTTAAAGTCAATGTTCATGATTTAAGGTCGACGTATAATAGTTATTAAGCCGGGTTAAATGTGGAGGTCTGATATACAGACCATTAGTTCAAATTTACCTGGAAACTTGAAATCGCACCTTATCAAGCCACAGTAAGTCAGTAAGTTCCACGTTCCAAATTCCGAGATGACCATTTAATTGTCTCGGGATAGCTTCCAGAGTTCAAGCAAGGGTTATATAGTCAT